CTTCTTCTTCTTCATTTTCTTCTTCTTCTTCCTCTCCTTTCTGCTTGCTCTCTCGCTGGCCGTGGTCGTCGCCGCCGCTGCTCCGCGGGCCGGCTCTCGGGTCAAAACTGGCGGGCGAGTTGGGCGAGCGGGAGGAGCAGGAGCCACGCGCAGCCTCCTCGTCGCCACGCGCCGCTGTTCCCGTCGTGCACCGCGCCGGGGCCTGAGCGAGGGAGAGAAACGCCCGCATGGTCACTCAACAGAGTCGATAAGAAAGTCGTGAAACGTGAAATAAATCGCAAAACCGACCGAAGGACGGTATTTGGGCGGTGTTGCACGTGGTGGGGTTGCTCTGCGGGCATCGCCTCCCACCTGTGCTGTCGTCAAGAGCAGGGCAACAACCGTCCCCATCCCCACCGACCCCGGCCTTTGGGACAAGACTCACTTCTCATCCCTAAGTCCCCATCCCAAGCCCATCCCCTGTGCATCACCACCATCCAACCTCCCTCAGCCCCTTCCACCCTCCTCCGAATTTGTCCATGTTTCCAGCCACACTTAGAGGGGAGATGGCAGCTTTTGCCCAACACACTCTGCCCAGTCCAGGGTGACCACCCTGTTCCCCACTTATGTCCTTTGGGAGGGCACAGTAACCACCTGCCCACCCAGCAGAGACACCACCAGCAGCACTGTATTGAGGACTTGGGTTTTGTGCCCCTCCAGAGTCTCTGTGAGGCTCATCACGGGCCCAGACCATCTCAAGAAGAATGAGAGGGGATGAGGAGGGTGGTCAAGAAAAGTCAAGCTCTTCCACACCTTTTGAGATCACTGGGGGTGGGGAGTTCAGAGCTCACCATAGGAAAGGATGTGGAGGGTGTCTGACCCAGTGGCTTTCACCAAAACATCCCAAATAGTTGACCCGGGGGAAGACTGGGCTGGGAAAAGAACTCAGGAAGGCATCCAGGCTGGTGTCCTGCCACAGCAGGGCTGCCCACAAGGTCTGACCCACACATGCTCTTGAAACCCCAGGACATGTTCCCTCACTTCAAAGTCCAACCAGGGCACTGAGCACCACTAACCATTTGGTCTCCCACTCTCCAGCATGCTCAGACACCTCACACCTCTCAAATCCAGGCACCAAATGCAGGTCTTATGCACTACCTCCACAGCCCTCCCGACATCTACAAGTCATCCTGGGGGCTGACCCACTCAGTGCACCACAACTGAAGCCACCCCAAAATCAAGATGACACCAGGCCGGTTGGCTGGATGATAAGATTGCCCAGGAGACTGCTGGCTGCCCCGACCAGGAATAACACCAGGAAGGGGACCTAATGCCTGTCTACCCCTACCCCATCCTGGAAAAAAGGTACTAGGAGCATCCCAGAGGAGGAAGGATCTGTCAGAAGACCCACTTAGGCAACAACACTGGGAAAGCTGAGCACAGAGACATTCCTGCTTTTGCCCTGGCGATGGAGAGGGAGTAGGAGACTGCGGGATGGGGCAGGCATGCAGAGGGCACAGACCACCACCAGACAGGCACAGTAGGCTGGCAGGGAGGGGGCAGGATGGGAGGGCAGCTAAAAAAGCCCTAATTCATCCCTACACCAGTGAGAGCAGCGGGGTTGTGGGGCAGGCTGGTTCTGCGGCTCCCGCTGAGATGGGCTGGGGTGGGAGCCGGAGGGGCCCAGGGGAAACACTGGGGGAAGCACTGGCATTGCAGGGGTCCCCAAATTACTGACCTTTCCAGGGTGTCAGAGCGGTAGTTGTCTCTTCTAAAAATTAAAGAACAAGTGAAAGTTAAGGCAAAAGGGCAATGGAAAGTGCAGGCTCGAGACGCCTCCCTCAGCCTGCCCTCGACCTGGGGCTGGGAAAACGAGTGGATGGGGTAGCAAGTGGGATGTGCTGCCCAAATCACACCCCAATGCTCTGAGGCCACGGTCCCCCTGTCTGGGGGGGGGGAAGCTGAAATGAGCCAAATAAGGGACCTCAGACCCAGCAAAGTCTGTGGTTGCACCCTGAGCAAAAAGCAAAGCACAGGGGCTGGGATTTGGGGGATGCAGGGGGTTCAGCTCTCCCCTGCAGGTTTGGGGCCCATCCCTCTCGATAACCCTGCAACATCCCAAATGGATTTATCGCCTGACAGCAGCCTCTGGGAGTGACAGGAGGAGAGGCAGAGGGCTTGGTTTTTTCCCCAGCTCCACAGAACGAAGCAGTTTCCCTGAACACTCCATCACATCCCAGACAGCACCAAATGAGCCGCTGAATGAGGCAGCAGGTCTGTAATAACGAGTGCTACATGTTAAATAAAGCACTAGTTGACCTCCCTGAAAAATTAGATTAAAAAAAGGATTAAAAGATGAATGCTACATTAGCCTCTTGCACAGCCCCAAAAAGGCTCCTGTCACGGTACCTGCATGGATTAAAACTCCATTTGGAGGCGAAAAAAACTTCAAAACACTCACTCAGCTTCAGGGAAAAGGGAACACTCACAAAATTGTCCCCCCAAAACCTTACAGAAGAGACATTTCTCGTGCTGCAGGTAGTGCAGCCATCACACCCACTTCCCTCTTATCTTCCATCTCAATAAATAAAGACATTATTCCCCAGACTGAGGGCACTGATTCCTTAGGGACAGGTGACACATGGGGACACCACATCTCTGATAATTAGGGGAGGGTCGTTCCTGGGGGTGCTGGGGGTCCCTGCACCCGGTGATGGGGAACCCCTGCATGTCATGGTCCCCTCAGGGAGCTGTCACCCCCCCCCAAGGGCACTCCATTAATAAAGACTGATCACCCAATCAATGTGGCTTTATGGAAATTAAGGGTGCTCAAAGGACTCTGATTTCATTCCCTGATGGGATTCACAGTCAGACCAACAAAGCTAAGGAGGTCATAAAACAAGCCTAGACTTCTGTGGGATTCTTCCCTGCCTCCCACCTGGCACTGCACTCACAGCACGAGTCCCACAAGCCATTGCTGACAGGTTAGAAACCAAAGAGCTAAGAACTCATCAGCAGGCAGATGTCATCTGTACTTTTGGGCTGTTCATCCAGCCTGGATCTGCAGATGCCAAATAAAGGCCCCTGCTAATTAAGATTTTAACCTCACAAACCCAAAGGAAGCCTACAACATCACAGCTGAGGATGTAGGTGTGGCTCAGGTTACACTGGACACCCAGCACGTCCACCCTGTGCGTGCAGAACAGAGGAAGCCAGGCCTGGGTGGTCTGCAGTGCCAGGGGTGTTGGTATCCCTAAAACACAGGGTTATTGGATCACCAGGAAGGCTGGTGGGGAGGAGAGTGGAGATAGTTCCTAAGTAACACTAATGATGGCTTAGCACAGGTAAATGTTCATCAGCAGGGACGTTTTGGGGGGAGCAAATGGATGTTTAAGGCTCATTAACATCCAAGGTTAACTCTGCATCAGGGCTGTGGGCACAGAGCTGAGCATCCAGGATGGGATGGACTCCTCTGTCACAACTCAGGGGAACCTGACACAGGTGCCAATACCGTGGCAGGGGAGGACAAGCCTGTCCTGTGATGCCACCCCGACCCCACAGTTGGGTGTGGCCCCTGGCAAAGCCCAGCATCCTCTACTCTCCTTAAACAAACTGCTGCCCTGGACCACATCCAGCCCCTCCCCAGGGATGGTGAGACACAGACATCACTTCCCGGGGTCTCCACGTGCCTCCCATGCTCCGCTGCTCTGGTACACTCAACATCCCAACACGTACTCTGGGACTCACTGTCCCGGTGTGCTTTGCATGGATAAGGGCACAGCCTGCCCTGAGCCACCCCTGAGGGGCCTGGGGATGAGGAAAATGGATCTGCTCCTCTGCTCTGCTCCCTTCCAACCACACCACAATGAGAGGTGACAAGGCAGAACAGCTGGGTGGCGGAGGAGGACAATGCTGGGGTGACATCAAGAGAGGATGGAGGTCCCCACTCCCCACTTCTCCCATATGGTTCAGCTGTGAGAAACACAAACCCCATATCTCCAGCAGGGAAATACCCCCATGCAGTACCCAGGGATGAGATCTGTCATCCATTTCTGACTCCCAGTGGCCATGAGAGGGATCTGGGGAGCACAGACCTTCCCAGCCATGAGCAGTGTCAGAGGGATCCCAGCTTTGATCCCAGTTCTGCCATGCAGGGAAAACAGTCCTGGGACAAGGGTACAAACCTAGTCCCCCTCCCTGCCCTCTGCACCTTCCCATCTCCCTCTGGCACCATCAATAATATATCTCCTTGGCAGGAGGGAAAACACAGCCTGAAAGGTGACAGAGACAGGGGCCTATTCATTCTTGGGTGGGAATGGGACAGCAGTGACCCTGAAAACCATCTCCTCCCACTTATCAGCACCAGAGGATGCCTTCACACAGAGGCTTTCCCAAGGACTTATCAGAGCAATAAAATGGAAACCTACAACCAAATCCTAACTTTGCATCGATGGTGGATCCCAGACACCTGTGAACAGTGACTGACATGGTACATGAATCAGGAGGCAGGTTTGGAAGCTCCCCAATTTCCCTGAGCTCACCATGACCTCCAGCCCATGCACTAGGCTAAGAAGGATCAGCAGCAAATGCACATCTCCCCCAAAAGACAAGGGAGAGCCTTTCCACCTCTCTCCCATCAGTGATCTCCCTGTTAAGTCATTCCCCCTCCCTGTGTGGCTCCCTCAGCCCCACTCACCATAGAGGATCATGCTGGCATTGGTGTTCCCTAACTGGTTGGAGGCTACACAGGTGTAGTTCCCATAGTCCTGCTCAGAGACGTTGAAGAAAGTCAGTCTGGAGAAGAAGGCTTTGTTCTCCACTTTCAGCCCTTTCTGTCCTTCAGCCAGCCTGGGAGAAAAGCAGAATGGGAGGTCACTGGAATGGTGTCAGGAGGAGAGGTGCCTGCGATTTTCCATGGCCCTGGTTGTGCCTGGGAGAGGGGACATTGAGCTTGGGAGAAGAGGGAGAAGGGAAGGCATTGGGAGGGATATGGGAGATGGATTCTGCTCAGCTGGGTCTCCAGCTGCCAGCCCACACTATCCCCACGCTGACCAGAGGCACCAGAGGACTCTGGATGGCGCTGGGGCTTGGAAATGCTGTGCAGAAGGAGAGATGCTCACATGCCAAGGGAGAGAACCTGGGAAAGGCTCACTGCCACCCTACAGAAGAGCCTGGCTTCCCTCTGGTGTCCTCAGCCCTCCCTGCTCTGCAGGATGCCTTCTGGCACCTTCCTTTTCCTCTTCCTGCGTATCCCTGATGGGTGACATGATGGGCACCCACCACTGCGGGGAGGCTTCTCAGCCAGCCCAAATGCTGCAGCATTAACCCAGTGCTTGGACTGCCCTGAGCTGGTGTCCCCATCCTGCTCTGCTCCTCCTTTACTTGCTAATTCCTCATGGGAGGTGCCAGATCCCCATTGTGGTCCCTGATGGACACTGGTCCAGGGGCTGAGCCCGCTGCTGCTGCTGCTCTGCGGGCCCTCGTGATCTGACCTACTTCTGAGCAGAGCCTTTCATCTGCCACACAAACATCCTCCTCTTTGTACACTCCTTTCCTCCTTTGGCTCCTTTCCTCCCCAGCCCGGGAAGGCAGGCAGCCCCAGACTCCCCTCCAGCTTCTGGAGCATCTTTTTTGGCTAAAACACCCCTCCTTATCAGTAAGGATGTGGCTTGTCCTGTGTTTGGTCATGTCACGTCCCCTCTGGGTTCCCCAGGGAGAAGTAACACAAAAATTGGTTAAAAACATTCTGTCTGGGGTCAGAGGGAGGCATTTTCTCCAGAGTGAGACCCTACCCTGGGCTGTGCTGCTTCACTCCTCATTCCCCAGCTGCATCCCCGTGCTGTTGCTTTGGCAGAGCACAGGATCTGCTTGTTCATCTAAAAGGGTGGTTTTCACCCTAAAGCAGGGCAGGCTGTCTCTGGGGCCTGGCAAACCTGTCTCTCGACCAACACCATATTTCTTTTGCCTTTCCGAGAGCTGCCTTCTGGTCAAAGTGTTTAAAGAGATGACAGAGGTTTCATCCACTCTTAAGTGCTTGGATTTGTGCTGCCAATATCCCTCTTCCCTGTTATGCTTCACCCAAGCTGGGATTTACCACGACACCTTCAAATGGAGGCAGGGGCAGCAGCGATCCTGCCCTGACGGAGGCTGAGAGAGGCTCCTGGAAAATTCCCCCTCCCTAGATGTCCCTCAGCTACTTTTCACAGTGTTAAATACAAAGCCCTGGAATGCTTTTAATAGATACTGGCTGTGGATGTCAGCTGCCTGCTGGAATGCCTGGATTTGCCCCGGACAAGCACAACCTGCTGCTCCTGGGGGGGACCTGGCTTGGTACCCAAACCAGGCTTGTGCCAAGGGCTATGAGTGGAAGCTGCTGGCACTGGGTGCAGCTCTCACAGGGTTGGTGTGCCCCCCCCCCCCATTCCCCAGGTTTGTCCCCCAAACTCTCACCGCTTGTCATCTTTGTACCACTGGAAGTCGGCGGAGGGGACGGCGGAGGCTTCACACAGCAGGATGCCCTTCTGCCCCACTGGCACCCCGCTGCTCTTCGCGTCCGAGATGTACGGTGGGTCTGCGGGAAGATGGGAGACCTGGGGTCAACACCCCGGAGCCTTGGGGCATCCTATCCCCCCGCCTTGCTCCTCAGGTTCTCCTTTCTTTCCCCGCACGTGGGAAGGAGCCCAAATCATCTCCGAGCCCATGCTCAGCTCCTGCCACTCTGGGGCTGCTGTCCAGGAGTTTTTTGGGCTTATGAGGGGGTCTTCCCCAAAAACTGGAGCTCCCCAGCTCTCATGCACCACATGTGCACTAATGGGGTAACCAGAGAGGGGTTTAGGAGGGTCTTCGCCTCTGTCTGAGCATGAAATATGCTGCTCTCTGCCTCTCTCTCATTTTTTTTTCTCTAAAGGAAAAAAATTCTATTTACTGCTCACTTCTCTCCCCGGAGGTTATCAGCACAGCATCTCTCCATGGGCGGAAAACCCAGGTTGATGGAGACAGCTGAGGAGGAGGTGGTGGAAAAAAAATGGAGCTTGAAAAGAAGGGGAAAATAGGGCAAAACACCACCTGCTCAGCAAAACTGCTGCCGCCTGTCTCGCTCTGGGACCCGAAGCCTTGTGCGTGCCTCGCTTCCAAGTGCCATTCCCTTGGGGGGCAGCAGAGTGACACACTCCAGCCCCACCCCTGTCCCCTGCTGGCCCCCAAGTACTCACAGTTGACGGTGACTTTGACTCGCTGGACGACGGGCGCTGAGACGTCGTTGGAGGCGCTGCACTCGTACTCGCCCGACTGCTCCCGCGTGATGCCCGTGATCTCCAGGTACTCGTCCTCGCTGATGAAGCCCACGGCTGCAGGGCACAGACACAGGGGTGAGTGGTGGGGAGGCACAGCAAACCCGTGTCCATCGGTTGGTCACCATCTGTTGCTGTGTCACTCTGCACTAGGACATCAATCCTGCGAGTCCCAGCCTGCTGTGCCCACGTGCCTGTGCCCCTCCATCCCAGGAAAATCCTTGCCAGAAGGGTATCTGCAAGCACTGGAGTTCTGTGGTGGACCTGGCACTGCCAGGAGTATCACTTGCTGGAGATAATGTCCATAATGCAGGCAGAGTGGGCAAAGTGGTCCTTGCCAAACCTGCACCCTGCTAGAACAATGCAAAATCACCTCTCCCTGGCATTTGCACATCCCTCCTGAGGGGGGAGGCACCACTGGGCTCACCCAGCTTTACACAGACACCCCTCTCTAATTTTCACAGCAAGTTTACTCCCATTAGTTTTTGTGCCAACATCTCCCTTCACCTGCAATGCTTCATCCCTGCACTACTCTGGGCTCATTTCTGTCAGAGCTGCAGTTGTCCCCCTCTTCCCCATCCAGCCTGCAGTGCAGCTCCTGCTTTCACTCCAAGCCAGAAAGGTGCAATCAGTGGCATTTCCTTCAGTGTGGTATCATTCAGCCCCCATTCCTTACAGGAGCCCTCTTTTTTTGACACTCTCCTGGAAACCCACAGCACTCAGCTGTCCAGACACTGGTGTTGGGGCACAAGATTCCCTGGTCCCCCAAACGAACAGCAAAAGCAACTTTTTGCAACCCCTAACGGGAACAACTTCTCCCTTCCTTTTGTTTACATCTCCCTACTGGATCTCCCACAGCTGGGATGCTCTAATGACTGCACGGAGCATCTCTGAGCCCAGTGTCACACTTAATATTCCTATAAATTTTAAACGGTAGTCCTTGGTACATATGTGTGGCAATTGGTGTCATATTTTAATTAGGCTTGCCCTACACCATCTGAAATTAATAATAGCTCGAATTACCAGTGTAATTTATAAATTAACATTGCTGCAGCATTAGGAAATAAATTAGCTCTGGACAGCTGTTTCTGGGAGTGAGTGCCAATGGCAGAGAGGCCAAGCACAGGTCCCTGGTCCCCGGGGGATGCCGTGAGCTCGCCCAGCCCTTGCTGCCCACCCGGCTACTGGAGTGACCTGATGGGCCACGACTCGCTGCGCTTGACTGGTCAACCGTGTGCATCTTGCTCCTTACAAATGCAGGCAAAGGACACACGTGGGAGGCTCCTGGAAGGGCACACACCGCCTGCATCCCACCGGCTGATGCTTCCAGAGCATCTCTTCCCGCAGCACAGGAACAGCCTGGTCAGACTGCACTGCTCACCACGGAAAGCATGCAGGGACCTGAGCCAGCACCGATGGCATTCCTGTAACACCCTGGCACAGCTCAACACAGGGAGCACCCCAGGTACCTGCTGGGATCCTGCTGCAGTCCCAGGTGCCACTATTGCCAACTCAAACTAGTGCAAATATGCTCAGCCATGATGAAATACCACCTTGGCTCTCTCTCCCTGCACCAGACCTCACAGCTGCTGCCTCCACAGAGCATTCCCGGGATTCTGCACATCCACTGCTCCCTTGCACACTCAGAGGCCAAACCAAGGACCCTGTGCACGTAAGGGTGTGCACCCCACCACCCCAGGCTGACCTAACTGGGAAGGCAGCCCCATGAGCTTTGGAAAAGGGGTGAAGTGAGTATTCTCACTGATGAATTGCTGACATCCACCCACGCCCTCAGCCCCGTGCCGAAATTCCTACCCGAGTGGTTCGGGGTCCAAACCACTGAGCTCAGCAGTACTTAGAGCAACTGAAAGGCGAGATATGAAGGCGTTACCCCAAAATCAATATCCTTTGGAGACACACAAATTACAGCGTTACATCCAGAGGCCCTGAGGCACCGCAAAAAAAACAGGAGAGAGGGGGAAAAGAAAAAAATCCCTTTTGTGGCTGACCTAGAATCAGCTTCTCTGTAGCACAGCGCTGCCTGCTGATAAAGGAACGACACAGCCGGTGGCCTTCAGATGCTCCGTGCACAAATCTGACTCTGGGCTGTGCAAAGGCTCAGATAACACTGCTTCCCAACTAACCAAAGGCCCTTCCCGAGTTCCAGAGCTGGCTCGCACACGGCAAGGATTAGCTCTTGCCACAGTCGAGCCGTAATGTGCGTCCCTGGTTTGATCTGGGAGCAAAGCAGTTCCAGTGCATTTCGTTCCCCAGCAAAAGACTTCATTAAAGTAGCTGTGAGGGTCAACTTTACACCTGCAAAAGCGCAGGAAATTGGGGGATGAAGGTTTCCTCTGTGCCTGTGTCCTGCTGAAGTCTGAGATGCTTGCAAGGTAATCGACCGATGGAGAGGCAGAGCACAGAGTTCAAGGGCTCAGGGTCTGGAATCTGTGGGATTTCAGCTACAGCCCATCAAAACTGGCACACAGAACCTGCCCTGGACCAAAACAGGATACTCTGAGGTGGAGCTGACACCTGCTTTTTCCCTGTGCACGACCTGGTATAACACACACTCAGATGACAATAGCATTAGGAATGCCATCCAGAGGCTATGGTCAGATCCTGCTTCCTTAGTGCCAGCTACAGCATCCCAAAGACTGAGGTGACACAAAGAATTCCTGCCCACCAGTGAAGCAGGTGACACCAGGTGGCCAGGACACCATCTGTGTCCCCCCTGTGCTCTCCTGCACGAAGGGCTTTGCAGGAAAATCGGATCCATAAACCTGTTTCTCTGTGGGATTGCACCCTGGAAGCGCCTGGAGCTTGGGGATACTCAGGGCAGGCCTGGACCAGAGCCCTGCAGCTCCAGGAGCTCTCCCAGAGGTACCAGTCCTGCTCTGCCTGAACTGATGGTGGGAACTTCAAGGTTGTCTCTGCTTGAGCACAATTAGGAGCTGAAATATTGCAGGAATTAATGGAGAGCTCTCTCATCTCCTCAGTAGCTAAAAAACCAGCACAGCCAGCACCCATCATTATTATTATTAATACTAATAATATAATACAGGCCAGAAATGGAACAGCCACGGACGAGGCACAAGCATAATCCTTGTTCATCAGCTGAGGATGATGAACTAACCCAGTGCGAGCCAGGGAGATGGAAAAACAGAGCCTGAATCCTTGTGCTCAGCGAGCAGGAGCCTTTGCACAGACTAGCATAGACTATTTAGGACTTGCTCCTCAAATCCCCATAAAAAACCTCAGGGGAGGGGAAGCTTGGCCATCATGGCAGTGGAGGAGTGATGGAGGTGAGATCCTGGACTGGCACAGAGCACCAGGGCAGACCCAGCACGTGGCCAAGCTGTGCTTGGGGTCTCACAAAGCTTAGATGAGATGAGGTGTGGGCAGAAATCTTATACATCCATATTCCTCCCTCCATGCCTTTCTCCTTCCCTTTCTTCTCCTCGTTTTCCCACCCTGACTCATCTCCTTTCTGACTCCTCCTGCCCGTTCGCTTCCATTGAGCCTCTGACAAGATAATAACTCACCGGAAAGCAAACACATGTTCCCAAATTAATTACATGCCACTGTCCCCTGGCTCACTGTTACAGCCATGTTCAGGTCTCTAGGACACCACTCACAGCTTTCCCTGGCTGAAGGTTGCCCGTGGAGCCATTCAAAAACCTTCCCTGAACTTCTTTCCTGGGTCAGTATCCCAGGATCAAGTGATCACGCACCTCGGATCAAGTTGAGCCAGCCCAGACATCCAGAGCTGCAACATTTCCACTTCTAAAGCCCAAAAACGACAGTGGTCCACAACAGATTTGGTCTCTGGATTCTCAAAGTCTCACCACCAATCCCAAAGTTCCCTGCCTGCTACACCCTGCTGCTGCATTTTTCCAGGCACCGATCCCACTAGCCAGGACCAGCCGAAGAAAGAGAATATTTTATGGAGATAATTTTATTAAAATGTTTACAACAATGCAGATATTGACATCTCGCTTCAGTCAATAGCACAATTTATTGTCCTTCAAGGTGAACATTAAGCCAAGCTGCCCATTAGTCAATATTTACCTCCAAGGTCTATAAATCTTTATACGGGCTTCAGCGGATGTTGACAGCAGCTGATTCCAGATAAGTAAAAGTAAGAGCGTGAAACATTGCTCCTTTTGGAGGTGAAATAGTAACTAGTTAATTACAGTCCCTACAGCAATTCTCGACTATCAATTTATGGCTGCTTCTGGCAATAAAAATTAACATCGCGCAGACTCCCGGCTCCGAGTGACGCACTGAACCCGAGAGCCATATATTTCACACATCACCCCGACGTGGTGCTGATGGCCATCCTATAACAGTTTATAGTAAATAAATAAAACACACAAAGGTAATACGAGCGAGTTGTTGGCACCAGAGACCTGCTTCACCCCTGCTTCGTGCGGCGGCGGGCGGTTTAGTAGCATCAGAGCAGATGGGGAAGGAGGTGGGGGGAGGAATCACCCCCAAATCACCCCAAATCCCTCTCAAAGCACACATGACACAGCCCCGGGCGGGTGGGTGAACAAGAGCTGGGGCTGCCTCCAGCTAAACAGGTGGATGCATCTGCTTCACCTCTTATTAACCACCATTACCCGCTCCTGATAGCTCAATTAGCACGCACGGAACAAAGTTCAGGCGTTTCTAAAATTCCCTCTCCCATTTTTGTTTGATCAGGTGAATGACCCCAGCTAGGGCAGCTTCCCCTCCCATGCACCCCCTCTTTCTGACTCCCCCGTGCTGGCTTAATGCTGCCACGCTCCGGTGGACAGAGATTGGGGGTAATTAACCTGCTGGAAGCCATCCAGCGCAATCATTAAAAAAATGATTTTTTTTAAGATTACCCTATCGACCCAGGCGAGCTGCTCTCCTCCTCTCGTGAATATTGCATCCCTGTGCCACAGGCTCCAGCCCATTTCCATCTGTGCCCCCTCTTAGAGGAGCAATCCCCTCAGGAAGCACACCTACATGAGACGTGGGCTCTGAACCTCCCCTTCTCCGTGTTCACAAGCCTTCAGAAGAGGGAC